CGGCAGCCCGGCGCGTCACAGGTGGCGCGAGAGGCGCCGGCCGGCTCGCCATCGGAGGCGCGGGCGGCACCGGCCTGCGCACCACCGGCGGTTCAGGAGACGCTGCCGGAGCAGACGGCACCGCCGCCGGCAGCGCAGATGCTAAATGCGCCGCTCGGCCAGCTGGTGAAGGAGTACAACGATGTCTTTAGCGAGAAGATCAAGATGATTCCAGGGGAGCAGTACAAGATTGTCCTGAGCTATGGCGCCCAGCCATTTGCTGTTCATGCCCCCCGACGCATCCCGTTCGCTTTAAGAGAGCCTCTAAAGCAGGAACTGGATAAACTGGAGAGAGACGGCATGATAGTGCCAGTGACCACACCGACGGAGTACTGCGCACCAATTGTCGTGGCTCCAAAGAAAGATGGGGGCATCCGCATGTGCGTCGATTTTACGAAGCTCAACAAGTCTGTGCAGAGAGAGCTCTATCAGTCTAACACTCCAGCCGAGTGTGTGGCGTCGATCGTCGGCTCCGACGCAAAGTGGTTCAGTGTTTTTGATGCATCTAAGGGATACCATCAGTGTCCACTGGAGGAACAGAGCCGTCCTCTCACGACCTTCATAACGCCGTTCGGTCGATATATGTGGACTCGGGCACCGTTCGGCATCAGCTCGATCTCGGAGTTTTTCAACCGACGCATGGACGAATGCTTCCGAGACATCCCTGGGATCCAGCGCGTCGTGGATGACGTTTTGATCTGCGGTGCAACAAGGGAGGAGCTGGAAGAGCGCGTGAGGCTCTTCCTGGACAGATGCCGTGCACGTGGCGTGACACTGAACGTGAAGAAGGCACAGCACATGCAGTCGGAGGTGCGCTTCGCAGGCTTCATGGTGACTCGTGGCGGCTACAGACCGGACCCGGAGCTGCTGCGAGCTATCGCCGCCTTCCCAGCACCGCAAAACGTCACGGATCTGAGGAGCTTCTTTGGACTCGTGAATCAAGTCGCACCATTCTCAGAGGAAGTAGCACATCACTTGGAGCCTCTGCGCCACCTACTGAGCACAAAGCGAAGCTTCAGCTGGGACAGTGTTCACCAGGTGGCATTCGAGGCTGCCAGAATGGCGCTGTCCTCGACCAGGACTCTGGCATACTTCGATCCCACACGACCGACGCTGCTATCGACTGATGCCAGCAGACTTCATGGACTGGGGTTCATCCTTCAACAGAAGCAGCAGAACGGGGAATGGCGCGTGATCCAGGCAGGATCACGGTCACTGACGGACGCTGAAACACGCTATGCCACCATAGAGCTGGAATTGTTGGCAGTGGTGTGGGCGGTTAATCGCAAATGTCGACTCTACCTGAGTGGAATGCAGCACTTCGACATCCTGATCGACCATCGTCCATTAATCAGCATCCTGAACTCCAAGAACATGGATGAAATCGAAAACCCAAGGCTGCAGCGCCTTCGAGAACGAGTCAGCATGTACAACTTCACGGCAACTTGGAGGAGGGGAAAGGAGCACAAGGCAGCTGACGCCCTGTCGAGATCGCCGGTGGACTCTCCCACAGCTGCAGATGAGCTCGCTGAAGACCACATGGCCGTCAGAGTCAGCACAGCGGTGTGCAGTGCGCTGGCAGAAACGAACACGGACATTCGTATGGATGACGTGCGCCGGGCGGCCGACCATGACGAAGAAGCTAGACAGCTGTTGCAGACAGTCCTTCATGGATTTCCGGCGTGCAAGACGGACCTCCCGGAAGTGATTCGGCCGTACTGGGCAGTACACGATCGGCTGACAGTGGAAGACGATGTTGTCCTTTGTGGATGTCGGTTGGTTATACCGAGACCGATGCGAGCCACAGTCCTCGCCGAACTGCATGCATCTCACATGGGAAAGGAAAAAACAAAGAGCCGGGCGCGACAAATTGTATACTGGCCGGGAATGGACAATGATATTGAAAATATCACCCGGCAGTGCAAGGCATGTCAGTCGGAACTGCCATCGCTCCCCAAGGAAACTTACCTCAAGAGGGAGCCTCCCACACGACCGTTCCAGCACCTGTGCACAGATCTGTTCCAGCACGCGGGCCACTACTTCATGGTGGCGGTGGGCCCGTTTTCCGGATGGCAGTTCTCGCGGCACCTGGGCCGAGAGGCCACATCAGCTCGTGTGATTGCGGAACTGAAGAGAATCTTCTGCATGACGGGCGCACCAGAGAAGATCTTCAGCGACGGTGGTCCACAGTACTCTTCCTTGGCGTTCAAGTTGTTTATGGAACAGTGGAAAGTGGAGCACGTTTTATCATCACCGCACTACCCGCAGTCCAATGGACGAGCGGAAGCTGGCGTCAAGGCCGCGAGCAAGTTGATTCGAAGATGCTGGACCGCTTCCGGTGGTCTAGATGTCGATTTGTGGACTCGTGGGGTACTGCAGCAGCGAAATACTCCAGGGCCGGATGGCAAGAGCCCGGCTCAGATAGTGTTCGGCCGACCAGTCCGGGACACTCTGCCGGCACACCGACGTGCTTTCGATCCTCGCTGGCAACGGACCGCTGACGAGGCTGACGCAGCTGCCAACGATATGAGAGACGACGCAGAGCGGCGCTACAATCAGCACGCAAGAGACCTGCCTGTCCTGGGTGTCGGAAGCCAGGTGATGGTGCAGAACCACGTCACTAAACGCTGGGACCGTTGCGGAGTGGTCACTGAAGTTGACCGCAGGCGGCGGAGGTACTTCATCCGTCTCCCCAGCGGGCGCGTGCTCACCAGAAACCGCCGGTTCCTACGCCAGCGATACGCCTACGCTGAGCCTCCCAAGCCCAACCAGACACCGGCAGCTGACAAGCAGGCCACTCTGAAGACCGCGCCTGCCGAACAGCAGCTGCGACGATCTACCAGAATTAGAAGAAGGCCGCGCAGACTCATTGAGGAAATGTAGTCACAGCGCCTGACGTGCGTGATTTGCAAAGGTTTATGGAATAGCGTTGGTAACCGGTGTGGGGATGTTGTGTTGGTTGTGTTATGCCTGTTGTTTTGTGCTAAATCGTGTTTAATAGGTGATCAGCCTTATCATGTTTAACTTATCTATATCCGCTTTTGTTCACCCTTGTTCTGTAACTGAGTCTGGAACTGGTGTGGGGGTGTGAGAGTCTTAAGTTATAGTCGTACGAGTGACCGCCAGATGACAGGTCACTCGTTGTGTTACTCTTGTCCCCGCCAGGTGTCAGGGGAGTCGGCCGGGTCATGGCACAATAAACAGTATGCGGCTAGACACGAGAGAGTGCGTTTGTGCGCAACGCGCGGGACACACGGAGCGAACTCGCACACGCATCAGCAAAGGCTCCTATACTGTGTATGTAGAACTGGACTGTAGTGGCACTGTCAAGAAGGCAGAATGTGAGGGATGCAAGGCACAACAGGGAGGATGCAAACATGTAGTAGCATTTCTCTTCTGGCTGCACAGGCGCAGTTGTGACAAGGCAACGACGGAGGTGAAGTGCTACTGGACTCGGCCAAAGTTGGCAGAAGTGCCTTCAATGAAGCCTTTGAAAGTGAAGAAAATGTTTGGAGAAAGGTCAGCCCAAAAGCGAGGCAGTATGGCTGGTCCGAAGCCCAGCTTTTTGCGTGCAGTCCTGAATGAGGTCGATGGTCCTGACCGACATACATACAAGGTCTAGAGATCTGAGGAGACTTTGTATCGGAGATTTGGTGAAGGAGTGCCCATCTGGCTCAGATCCGGTTGCCCACATGGCATATCATCTGACGGATGACGACATTAGAGCTGCAGAGGTAGAGACGAGGGAGCAGGCTGAGAGCCCACTGTGGTTCTATCTCCGTGCAGGGAGGCTAACAGCATCTCGGATTTATGATGTTTCAAGATGTAAGAGTCCTGCTGGATCACTCTTGGAGATGATATTAGGAGCGAAATGCTTCACTGGAACAGAGGCAATGCAGAGAGGCAAGCTGTTGGAGCACGAGATGCTCAGAGCTGTCGAAACTCACCTGGGCATCAAGATCCGTAGCTGTGGGCTGATGATTGACAGATCTAATCCAGTGCCCGCTGCAAGTCCTGATGGACTTTGTGACATTGACGGCGAAGCGACAGTGGTGGAAGTGAAGTGTCCCACAGAAAAGATGATAGATGCGTACCTGGACAACACTGGTACCACAGCCAGGAAGGTGCGTGCCCAGCTGAATCTACAAATGAAAGTGTTGGGCATAAAACGAGGGCTGCTGTGCGTAGCAGACCCGCGTTTTGAGGAGACTAAGAAGGTACATCTCGTTCATACACGCTATGAAGCTCCATTCATCGATGATGTCGTCAGCAGTGCCATGCTGTTCTGGAAGAGCTATGTGCTGCCCGTCATAGTGGCCTCGGAGCATGGCCATGTCAGTGTGCCACCTGCTCAAGCAGCTGCCAGATCTGCGTCCAAGGCTGCGGCTCGCCCAGTGCCCCAGCCGACTGGTCACCCACCTGCTGCTGCTCGCCAGGTGCTCCAGCCGGCTGGTGAGGCAGCTGCTACTTCTGCTCGCTCGGTAGTGATCGGCCGTCCACTTCCAGCCTCTACAACAGTCGGCCGCCTGCCTCCCGCTGGCGTGCCCGTGATCGTGAGAACGCCTAACAGTAAAGTTCGTGTGTTGAAGTTTGTGTCAAACACGTCGCTGTCCAATGGCGAGTAAAACCTCCGTGCCTTCGTCAGAGTGAGCCTCAAGTGTTGGTCAAGTGAGGGAGGGTGTGCCACTGTGCTAGTATGTAGCATATACCACAGCCAGATGTTTGTAGGTGGTGTTTTTGTATTGAATTGATGCACGTATTCGCCATATCAGGTATTGTTGAAGCAATAGCTGTTAATTGCTTAGTAGTACCTGCTAATTATTGATGTTACCTAACTGTAAATAAATGTGATTGTGCTTACACATCGGACTGTATCACATGCGCTGATGCCGAGGTGCCTGAGGTTCTCAATTCGTAGCCATCACCGTCATTCGTCAAACCAGTCAACACTTCATGTGAGCTGATGTCTACAAATGTATTGGCAACCGCAAACACCGAAGTGAACAGAGCATAGTCTTACAGCAGATGACAACGAACACATAAAACGGTTGACTGTTCGTCAAAGCCAAAACCGTCACTGGTCAGCACGACCAGGACGAAGCACTCTTGCCCCGTAACATGTTCGACAGCACGCTCACATGACTACACCTTTACCAGTGGCGGCTGCATATTAATTAAACCACAAGCACATAGAACGCAATCGTCAAGGAGAGACAGCAGCTGGTGCTCTACGCAAGCGTGGGGGCGGAGCATGTCGAACTCGCGTATCCTGCGGATCGCACGCTCCACGTGTATTCGCAAACTAGCTACTTGCTCAGTCCATTCGACCTCTTCTTTTGACATCAGCGATTGGCTGCTTACAGACGATGGCCGCACTAGACTACAACCTTTCTTGGCCAGCAACGGCTCTAAACTCTTAAAACCTCGGTCGGCCATCACCATATCCCAGGCTCGAGGTGGTCAAGGAACCCAGAGTCCTCGAGAATGGCCATATCCGAAACTCTTCCGCCGTACCCGCTGGATACAAAGTTCACAAACCCATTTGGAGTAACGGACACTAAATATTTAACCCTGTTGCATGCTTTGTAGGATGAAAACGTGATTGACTGGTTTACAGATGCGCCTGGCTTTTCCGCCTGAATCTCCAGACAATCAATGATGCACGTAGTACGTGCAAAACGAGCCTTAAAGGCAAGCGGTAGAGCCTGCCTGATAGCCTCGGCAGGAGGCCAAAACACTAGCTCTCCCAGCGCCTCTGCAATGCATGGCAAATGCTTAGCAAAGAGTTTGCCTACGTAACCTCGCGATACTCCAAAGTCATCAGCTATGGCGTCGAAACTCCTGTTCAGCTTGATTTTCATCAACACAATCAAACACACATCATAAGCGGTCAGATCTGATCCAGCGGGGTGCTGAACATGGTCACGAGCCAAAATATGTATAGCTTTTAGGTAGCCTGGAGGCACACCAATATATCTCTTTGGGTCCTTCTCTACCAGACTCCTAATCCTATCACGGACAAACAGTGGCGGATCCAGGGGGGGGGGCTGCGGGGGCTGGCAGCCCCCACCCAAGGAAAACTGGCGCCACTGCGCCGAAGGCGCAGTGGCGCCAATTTTCAATTCGCAACTCATCGGAGTGCCGCATACTAGGACTAGGATGCAAAAATCAGTCGAATAACGTCGTTTCAGTACGCTCCGCACCGATATTTCCAATCGTGTGGTGTCACTGTACATACTGATCCTGGACGCCTCTTGTCAGGGCCACTGGGCGCCAATATTTCAGCGCCAATACGATGCGACTATGGCGCCCATCCGGGGCGTGGCGCCCAATTATGACCTGCAGCCCCTCCCCAGTGAAAATCCTGGATCCGCCACTGCGGACAAAGTAGTTCAACTCAAAGTCGTCCCCCATATCCTCATGAAGTCCATCCCCACTGGGTTCATAATCTTGGTCAGTGGGATCATATGCATGAGGGACATCAAACTCATCACCTGATTCATCATCGGCAAGAGAAGACGCAGTCTGGCAGCCTGCATACACTGTGGGCGTCTCTGTTTGGCACGCTACTGACACCACTGGAGTCTCTGTCTGGCGGTAGCAGTCCTTCATGGATGGTGTAGCAGTTGCCAGGGAGTTCTCTTGCTCCTCTGCAGGCTCGGCGCCTCCAGCACCTTGTACTTCATCACTGATCTGGGGAAAAAAAAAACATTGCAAATAGTGGTGACTTGTGAGGTATAGCATGATTCGTAGGTAATGCCCAGGGTATATTGAATTAGGGGGTAGGACCAAGTTTAGTAGGCATGATCTTAGCCATAGATATAAAAGACTAGATGGGACATTGGCAGTGTTTTAGTGCGTGCGACTGGCCGCCATGTTTGTGAGGGCGGGAATCTGCGGCGCTGTGTAAACACTACGGGAGGAGGGGGGTATTTGAGACTGATTTTGTGGTATTTTTCGATCGAAAAGTGCTAATCTTTTTTGCTCACGGCATTCTTTGGAATGTGTAGATTGTGGAACAAGTGCTGAAATATGCTTATCAATTGTAATTTGGCTACGTTAGCCTTAGACATGTTGCACTGTCGACGCTGATGAAGAATAGGCGGCACCAAAGGTAGATTTGCTTGGCATGCCTGTTTTAGATTTAATTCAGTTCCCATGTTTTTTTTGTGCACACCACAATCCTTTAATTATTCTTGCATGGATAGAGCATCAGTCATATGATTTTTCACAAAGAAAGCTTACCTAGATAGGTACCAGAACATTGGCAGCAGAAAGCAGACTCATTACCTACACTTGCTTTGCCTGCTCACTTTCTACTGTTGCCTTCAATGGACAATATTTATGAAGTAAGAAGGTTTTATGATTATAGGTTTTAAATAAGTACTTTACTTAATGTCATCAGTTAGTATTCTCACCTGGTTCTCTCACCTGGTAGGGTTCTCCTTGCCTAGCAGCCATAAGGATATGGTAGTAGACATGATGGGAACCCATGATCAAAGGACACGCCAGTTCACCAACAAACATTGCCCGTCGTCTGTCGCTGTGGTTTAACTGGATTTGATGTGTCCACTGGTAACATGTCTGTGTAGAACAATCACTGATTTCCCGATAATAAATGCTTTTAACAAGTCGTTGAAGTGAGTTGAGTGAGTTGGAACTCACTCAGCAAACTTGTACAGGTCATCATGTATCGCTCGAGACAATGCAGTTTTGAAGGTGCTCAGGCTTCCTGTGGCTACTACATTATCAGGCAGTCCGTTCCAGAGGGCTACGCTTCTGTGTGAAAAACATCGCTTGCGCACATCTGAGACCGCTCGTGTTACATGTATTTTGAAGCGATGCCCTCTAGTGCCACTATGAGGAGGCCGAGTGAACATATCCTCAGGCTTAATACAGCTAAGATCATGGAATATTTTCCAATATTGGATTAGATCAGCTCTCAAGAGCCTACCTTGCACTGAGTACAAGTTCAGTTCACTCAGCCTCTCTCCATAGGACAATCCCTCGAGACCTCTGATATTCCTAGTCCACATGCGCTGTACCCGTTCAAGTTTCCTGAGATCCTCTTTGTACCCGGTGTTCCATAAACATGACGCATATTCTATCAATGGTCTGACATGTGTTGTAAGCAAAAACATCATAAATTCAGGTGTTCGGCACACAGTTGACTTTAAGAAGCTCTGACAAAGTCCAAATGCTTTGTGCGAAACAGAAGATACATGTTCATGAAATTTGAGCCTATCGTCTACCAGCAAGCCTAGGTCGCCATGAGCCTTGCGGGTCGGTAAAGGGCTGCCATCCAAAAAGTACTCTGGAGGAGCCTGCTCTCTAGAATTACGAGTGAAGCGCAACACAGCACATTTGTCTCTGTTTAAAGTCAACCCCCAAGACTCGGATGTACAGTGCAGTGTGCAAATATCTGTTTGAATGGATTGAGCAGCACCAGGACAAGCATCTGACATAGGTGGATTAACACATGCATATAGCTTCAAGTCATCAGCGAAGATCTTATAACTAGAAGTTAAATTCGAGCCGATATGGTTTATATATATAAGAAATAACAATGGACCAAGCACAGAACCTTGAGGGACCCCGCTTTCAACTGGTCTGTAGCTACTGAGCTGACCTTTTACAGCAACCTGCATTTCCCGTCCTTCCAAGAAACTGGCGATCCACTTTAAGAGTTTCCCATCAATACCAATAGATTTCAGCTTGTCAAGCAGGATTTTATGACAGACTTTGTCAAAGGCCTTACTGTAGTCAAACAAGATGAGGTCCACTGTCTTCCCTGAGTCAACCAATCTGTAGATTTCCTCATATACCAGAAGCAATTGCTCAACCGTTGATCTTCCCCGTCTAAAACCAAACTGGTGGTGGGACAATATGTTGTGTTCACTCAGGTAGTTCATCAGATGATCAGCAATCAAGTGCTCGAGAGTTTTACAGCATATAGGAGTAAGACTCACAGGTCTATAGTTAAGGGGGACAAATCTGTGACCTTTCTTGAAAATGGGTATTACCACTGACCTTTTCCATGCCTTGGGAACCAAACCCTCGCCCAAGGAGCGCTTGAAGATTACGCTCAGAGGGCGGGCTAGCTGTTTAGCACAATTTTTCAACACCAGAGGGTGAATACCATCAGGCCCCATGGCAGTACTAGAATCAAGTGATAACAGCCTTGCTTCAACACCTTCAACAGACACATTTACAGGGTCAATGTGTTCATCATGTACCTGATGTGGCTCTTGACGTGTTGGGACAACTTTGCAAAACACGGATGAAAAGGACGAGGCTAAACATTCGGCCATGGCTAATGGGTCAGAGCAGAGCTCTCCACTTGGGAGCCTAAGAGGGCCCACCGATGAAGGATTAGATTTTTTACTGCTAATGTATGAATGGAGGAGCTTAGGGTTTTCCTTGAACCTGTCAATGAGGCCATTCTCATACTGCGCACGTGACTTGACTTCAAAACACCTCAAATCCTTATTAATAGTAGCAAATGATGAAAAGGCCTCCATTGCTGCTGAAGACTTGCGCCCACTGCACAGTCTCGCCCTTTTATATTTTGCCCACGCCTTTTGTTTAACTCTGATCAGGCTGGGAGGCGGAATTGTTCGCCATGGTGGCTTGTCTTTTGCTTGTACTTTCTTACGAGGAATGCATTCTTTGACACTGGTTTGGACGATACTTGCAAACTTATCAAAAGAACTACAAGCATTTAGATGAGTAAGTTCAAACCTCCAGTCAACCTCAGAAAACATGGCATTCAGTCTGAGATAGTTACCTCTGTGCCAAGCAAAATTTTCCTGGCCAACAGCAGCTCTATCAGCATGATCCCCTTCAAACACATAATCAAAGAGCACTGGGCAGTGGTCGCAAGCTGGCAGCGGTTCAACAGCGTCAACCCTCCCCACCCTGTCCTTCTCCGTTGTCAATAGAAGGTCCAAAGTATTTCCTGAACTGGGGAATGTCGGCACTGACACCCACTGCACCAAGCCGCAGGATGTAAAAACATCCAAGAACATGGAATCCAAAGGAGGCATATGATTCGATGAGATTATCTGTGATGTCCATTCTATGTTAGGAAGGTTAAAATCCCCTAGTATAATCATTTCCTTTCCAGAAATGACTTCCTGCAGCACGCATGCAAGTTCATCATTTTCTGCAGCTGAGTACGAAGGTGGCCGATAGACCACGAGAAAATAAACATCATACTTGGCCAGACGGAATAATAAAGCATTTGACATTGGATAACTGACCTTATCAATTAGTATATCTTCATGTACAAAAGCACAAACTCCATGTTTGTGTACATGGCCTTTGACATCACTTCTTATCAAATTGAAATGAGGAACCTTAACAAAAGAACTGGCTACAGCTGATGTTAAATGGGACTCTGTAATACACAATACCATAATATTATTTTTCTCAATAAAGTTTATTACAGAGTCCATTTTAGTGCTCAAACCTTTAACATTTACTGTGCAGCACTTCAAAACAAAGTGTCGTGACACAGGTGTCAGGCCACTCAGTTTACCTGAGCATTCCCTGATGGGGATGTGGGAGTGGCATTATTATATTAAATAGTAGTTCAGTGCCAAACGAAAAATCCATGCACTATGCCAGATGCCTCGGGGGCTCTTATCCGCTCTGGGTTCAGAGTGCAGTGGCATACCACGCTCACCCTCAACCAGAGCTGATAGATAGTGAAAATGCCAGACGTCGTGATATCTGCACCAGCGAACCGTGTCGCACATTTGATCCTAATAATGAACAGGACAGGGGTGACGTAAAAATGTGCGTTAGTTGGAGCACCTAAACTCAGATTGTCATTACCTAATTAGTTTTCACATTGTAAAGCTTAAACTACACTTCATGCTCTTTTGGCTCACCTGTTATCAGTATCAGTAAATAGGGTATTAGTAAATCTGGCGTTACCATCAATGCTAAGTGCTAACAAGTAAATATGAAGTCCAAGGAAGATAAAAATCATAATCTTACTTGACCTAACCTTACCTACTAACCTAACTAACCTACAACCTACAAACCTCAACCTACATACAACCTCCATACCTACAACCTACCCACCTACAACCTACCAACCTTATATATGCCGACGGTGGCACCAGATTTATGGATACCCTTATTTGTTAGGTACTTCACTCCACTTCTCATTTTATTTGAAGCTCATTTAAATTCTTGTATTTAAGTCTGTGTAAACTATTATTTTAAAAGCCTGATGCTTTTCCATGACTGTAATCTCACTGTTTGCTATGTGTATTTTGTAGTGTGTACTGTGTGCAAATCCAGTATCCTACACTTGTATGCTACAGGCCTTGTTTTGATCTGAATAACTGTTAATATGTTTCAGCTTTAAAGACTAGTATCTTTTGAAATTGAAATTTGCCTCTCAGTCTCTCAAGAATCAAGATGCCAAATAGATGTGCAGGATTTGATTGCTGACAAACAGGGATGAGGCTCAAGAGTCAAGAGATCACCCTGCATTGGCAAGTAAAAGCTACAGACTCTTGATTTTTTATATTGTTACAGGTTATCTGTCACCGAGAGCGATTGCTGTAGTTCAATTTCTTGCATCAAAATTGGCAGAATATGACTTCACTGATCACTCTGACGTCATTTACGGCCGACCTATGGTAGCTACACAATTTTTATTTCTATAAAATGTTTCA